CTCCCAGCATGCCGGCTGGGGAATTCTGGGAGTTGAAGTCCACACATCTTAAAGTTGCCGAGGTTGAGAAACACTGGTCTAATGTGACCTTTCTCACAGACAGAGAAGCTTAATATCCATCCATGTTTGCAGGTTCACGGGTAATGCCTTAGCATTCAAACTCCAGCCAGGTTCACACAATGCGCTAAGTGAAAAAGTGGCTGGTTTGTGGCTCAGTGTCTTGTGTGAATGCAGGCACATAGGTTAATTTAGTATACGATGATTAAATGCGCTAGCTAGATTTGTGCTATGCAAATACTATAACATGGGATATTGGGAAGTCTGAATAATACTTGTATGCTGTTTGGAATTTGTTAATTGCTGAATTTTTCTATAAATGTAGGCTAGGCGCATACATCACAGCCAAGTTCTGATATATCTGAGTTTAGTTTAATGTATTGTGCAAACCTACCCATTGTGGTATATAAGCTATAGTTTACAGCTTTGTGCATTGTTTGAATTCACCCTGTGGTGTTTTTTTCAATAAGCCATGCTTAATCAAACTGACTTGATATGTTGTACGCATTCAGTCTCCAATATTCTTCTCTTTAGTTGTTGTTTTTTTAAGAAATCAGTGTGAACAGAAAAATATGGTATGATTATCTCAGTATACAGTTTATTTTTAATTATAGTAGGAAGGAATCATGACTAAAGTTTATTAAATGGATCCATATAGTCATTTCTCACAGCAAATTGTTAATGTAATTAACTTCTGATTACATGTTCTGATCATCCTTTCCAACAGATCATACTGGCCAAGGCTTATGGGAATTAAAATCCAAAAATCTGGAGAGTTCTAGATTGCTTTTCCAACTACGTATTGACCTGTCAAGGACTATTGTAAACTAAATTTCACAAAACAACTTGAGGATGCAGAATAATCTTAATGGATTCTCCACGTAGATCATTTAGATAACACTATTGTTGATCTTTTGAAATTTCGTGAAGATTAGCTAGATGGCACTCAAGTATGTTTTCATGCTAGAATCTAGGGAACTGAAAACTGAATCAAGTCAAAAGCTTTTATTTTGCTATTTTAACAATGTATTCCAGAAAACCATTTTACATCGTAGAAAGCAATAGAATTCACATGGAATCGGCAAAAGTGGTCCGAATTCTATGGCATTTTATAGATAGGCAGAGCTGCCAATTCAGTCACTGTAACTTCCTAAGCTCACAGCATCCCACAGACCAGAGCAAGATGTAACGCTGGTCAGCTGAGGCAATCAACTATTTCATCTACAGCAGTTTTTTCAAACTTGGCAATTTTAAGATGTGTGGACTTCAACTCCCAGAATTCCCCAGCCAGCATGCTGAGAGCTGAAGTCCATACATCTTAAAGTTGCCAAGTTTGAAAAATACTGATCTACAAGGCTGGCGTGACTGAGAACTCCTTTTGTGCACAAAACAGGGAATATGCACAAATGGGACATCTATTCGAACAAAGCTTTGTGTAGTGTTGGCTGGTGTGGGTCTTCCGGGCTGTGTGGCCGTGGTCTTGAAGTTTTGTTTCCTAA